AATGCATCACAAACTCAACAAAAATATTAAGCAGCACATCTGTTTTTTCAACATTGATAATAAGCATGAAATCAGCATATTAGTATGACTTCTGCATGATCATGTGACACTTAAGATTAGAGTAATGATGCTGAAAATTCAGCTCTGACATCAGGAATAGATGACATTATTACAACAGCTATTTATATTGTAATAAAATTTCACAATATTACTGTTTTTACAGGGTTTTGTATTTATTAAAAAAACACCTTACCATCCACAAACTTTTGAATGCTTGAATAAATATCAATTTTATTAGTATTACTTTATTATGTTATGGAAAACATGTTGTTTAAAATGAAATATAATGATTTAGTAATCACTTTGTCATTCAGAACAGTTCTGCATTTCTGTTTTCAGATACATAATTATCTTGAAAAAATGAAATAACAGGTATAGATACACACATAAATGTGATGCGATCTAGGAAAACCTGTCGGATGTCACACTTGAACATTTTCAGTAAAGTCTAAAAATAGATTGAATGTCAGTTTATTGTCAAATTTGGGTTTTCAATAAATTATTATTCTATAACATCATTTATCATCTCTGAAAAATTCACTAGATTGGTGGAGAAAAATTGCGATTTATAGTGGCAAGCTGAAAAGACGTGTCTTTCTCTTTAAGAACACGTGAGGAGCAAAAAAAAACAAAACAATTATTTGTCCTTCTCTTTACACTACAAAGACAGTTTCACCTATCAAAATAAACCACATAACAGAATAAAGGTCCCGCTAGTCCTGTGTAAACTACAACGGCATGCAAGTTTTTATTTATTTATTTTTATCCAGCGTTATCGTATGGTGTGATGCGGAGCACAAGAGAACAACAGAGTTTGAAGCTGCTCGTTTAAAAGACCTTGCTCGCTCCTCAATCGTCCAATTTCAAAACGGGTTTTCACAGGATGAAATCTATCTAATCTATGATAGTTACTAAAATATGTGATATGAAAAAAAGCAGGACATGAGAGTTATTTAAACCCGTTTTTCTCAAAATTCAGTTTCTGAAAATCATAGCGATCAGCCGACTTCAGATAACCACATGTGTAATATGTGGTGGGCTTTCCCAAATCGCATCACATATACTTGTTTTCCCCCATCTGTTGTAAGGGGTTCGAATATAGAGTCATGAGTCAATGAGTGTCCATGAAGTAAAGATGTCAGAAATCAGGTCACATACTTCTCAATCTAGCATCTGCCATTGAAATGATGGGAATGCCAATACCAGGTATACCAGACCGGCTTGAGCCGAACTGTGGCAGAGAGGGGACTTTATTTACATTAGCGTTCATTTTGAGCCAAGGATGATGTGTTTATCCTGTTCTTGAGACGCATGCTTGTTTCTCGTATTTGCAATCCATGTTAGTAAATCGCATTCGGTTCAGAATCATGGCAGAGTTATATTTGCTGGTGAGCTTGCAAGCCAGAGGGATAAATGTGTTTACTCTTGAAGTATTTGTCCCCTCCAAACGAAATGAAACTCCAGCTTTGACAGCTCCCCCCTCTCTGTGTGTGAATCATCTGTATCTGATCTCCCTGCACTAATTCCAATTTAATTGCCTGTTGCCTGCAGGCTCCTCAATAGTGGTAACAAATGGTTTGATTTTGTAGTCCTCATCAGGCAGCATTTTAAATGCAGCACTCTAACCCCACTCGAATGCCAATGAAGGCACCGAACAGCGTCGTGTTTACTAATGCTCGTCCCCCCCACCCCCCCGCGCTCCTCGTCTCTGTTCCTCTCATATCTGATTAAAGGGGATTTGTACGTATCGGCGAGATGCAAGCATCCTCTCTCTCCATTGTAAATTATATGGGCCAGAACAGGCGGTCTCGGCTTCTTGTGTATTTTCGTTTTAAGAGGCGAAGATGTTCTTCGCTGGATAACGCCGTTTAATCTATTTTAACAAAGTTTCGACATTAAAGTGCAGGTCTGATGTGGGAAGATGGCTCTGGCTCTCCATGTGAAATAGGACCCGGTACTATGTATGAATTTTTAAAGCGTGCATGCTTTATGATTAATGTGTTATCTTCATTAATTCTACATAAGCAGGGCTAAAGGAATAGACACCAGACAAAAGCTCCATATCTAGACCAAATGGTTAATAGATGGTTTCCTCGAGTTTTTCTTTAATTATTGATTGCCATTACAATTGTTCATGTTTAACGTTAACCCCAAGTATTAAACTAACTCATCCTGGAGCATTTGAATTCATTTTTCGGTAGAATTACGTGAAAGAGTGATCTGAACCATGTCTGTTGATCTAAATATCATAGAAGCTTGGTGACTGGCCAAAAAATAACCACCTAGCAACACCCTGACAACCATCCAGAACACCCTATCATCAAGGCAAACAAAATTTCACTGTTTGTGATATTATTTACATCCAAACAAGCCACCCAAATTAAACTTTCCCTTTATATTCCATCCTTTTTTCATCTCTGATGATATCCCGTGTCGTGTGATAGCATTCAATATATTTGTCTTAAATCTACACTGTGTGATTTTTACCCCCATCTAGCGGTGAAAATGTATATGACCATCCAGTGAATATTAGTTTCTTTTCCTCTCCTAAGTCCTACGGTGGCCAATGTAGTCCAAGATTAACATGGCTTCCAGTTCGACCTCGTCCATGAGTGTTAACTCAAACGTAAACGCGAAAGGCGAAGCTTGAATTAACGGGTATGTCCCTCTTTGGCTAATGTACTTTCAAGATGGAGGGGCAACATGGCGACCGACATTAGAACCCCTTACCCGTATGTATTTTCAATGGCATATTATACACTCACAAGAATACTTTATTACTTGAACGAAGTAAATGAATGAGCACATATATTTTTGAAAGAACTAAGTGTTTTTAGCTAAGAATAAACTAAAAGAGTTACACAGTGTAGCTTTAATTATGTTTTACTAAGCTTTTGTTTTTGATTTAAAAATACTAAGACAAAGATGTAAAAGTATTTTCATGAATGATTACCCATATTGAATCCTGAAATACTTGATTTTTTTTAAAGAGGTGTCTCACAAAAGCTGCATGCATTTATTTGATCAAAATGCAGAAACAAACAGTAATATTTTAAAATATTATTACAATTTAAAATAGCTGTTTAATATTTGAATATATGTTTTCTGTAATTTATTCCTTTGATGGCAAAGTTCAATTTTCAAAGTTCAGTGCCTTCAGAAATCATTCTAATATGCTGATATGCAGCTCAAAAATATTTCTTATAATTATCAGTGTTGAACGCAGTTTTGCTGCTAAATTTTATTGTGGAAACCGTGATAGATTTCAGAACAGAAAAATTATATCATATAATATTTTACTTTGTTTTATCACAAAACTTGTGTTAAGACTAAATTCCTCTGGTGTGACTGTATGTTTGTTTGCACTGCAATTCATTAAATAATTCCAATTCCAATTCAGAACCTTGTTAGCCTAGCTTGTTAGCATTGCAATTCATATTCCAACTGAATCGAAAGTGAGACGATTGTTAAATTGTATATTTTGCCCAACCCTTCTGTCTTTGTGTTAGGAAACACATTTTTGCAGGAGTAGCTGGTGACACACCTCTCTCTGCTGTTGTACGTCTCATTGAGGTGTACTGTGGGTAATGGGCAGCTCTGGAGCGCCACTAACAGCAGCTGCCGAGGAGAGCCGAGTCTCTGACACTCACTTTGAGAGAGGAGCTGGCTCCATTAACAGCCCTATTCACCCGGCTTAAGCTACTCTGTCAGCCACTTCAGAACCATTAAAGCTCTGCTGGGAGCTAGACACAGACGAACGAGGGAGACAGAAGGAGAGAAGAATGAGGAAAAATAGAAGCAGGGGATGCTCTCAGTGGAACTGAGTGATGGTATAAATAGTTGGAGTTGTAGAGGTAAATTATTCCTAAAGACATTAAACAGTAGTGAAGCTAAGCTCCCTCTCTCTCTTGCCCTCGTGCTTTCTTTTTCTTTACCACAGTCGCCTCGTATATTTATGCCTGTGCTGGATTGCCTCGGTTTTTGTTTTGTTTTTTCTTCTTTTTCTGAAAAAGGCTGACAACACAAATATCTGTTATGTGTCTGATATAATGAAGCTCAAGAATGTGTCATCATTCTCCAGCATTCACAGCGAGATTTGCCTTGAATGTTTTTCTTCTGCCTTTTTCGTGAGCCTCGGAGCTACTGTGGCTTCCAAAAGAACTTTTGTTTTCAGCATAACAGTCTGAGAGGACAGCTGACCTGAAAAAATGTTCACGAATTTCTAATAATATTAAATATTAATAAAGATTTTTAATAATAGTATTTATTTTATTCCAGATTAATGACATTACATTTGATTTATTTGATTGTTCTTTTGATCATTTACTTTTTTTTTTTTTGTAAAAACGTTCTTCTTATAGATCTTTGACCTTTGTCAAAAAAGTTTTCATTGGTGAATATCGTCTCCCGGCCCCTAAATGGTCCTTCGTAATTGATGTCGGCCCTTAAACTTTTAAAGAATGGAAATAGCAGACATCAAGCAACTTGTCTGAGTACATTTACACAAAACTCACATTACAGACGAGCTGTCGGTGAAGTGTAGAGGGTCATTTTTTGTGTGTCTGAAGCACTAAAGCTTTTTTTTTTTTTTTTTACTCTGAGCTCTTTCGTAGATGCTGATTGATTGAGTGAGAAGTCAATCCCAGCCTGCTGTTCACGAACCCACCACTGGGCATTCACAAAGATTTTAAATTAGGGACAGCTTTACTTGAAAGATTCATTATTGATTGGCCATAGATACTGAAAGCACTGTTTCTGTTGTGGAGAGAAGACAAACTAAGGCAATACGTCTAAGTCTCTTTTACTCCATCCGTTATGAAACATATGGACTTATTCATTCATTTTGCCACATTGTCCTTAGCTACAAAATGGATTAAGTCCTAATTCTGCATTCTCTCCTTTACTCCTAAACCCCATCTTGTTTTGTCTTTTTTCTTAAGGCTCAGATATGGCAGTGTTTTGCCTTCTGTGTGGGAAGCGTTTCCAGACCCAGAAGGCTTTGCAGCAGCACATGGAGATTCACGCCGGCATGCGCAGCTACATCTGCAGCGAGTGTGAACGCACTTTCCCGAGCCACACGGCGCTCAAACGCCATCTCCGCTCACACACAGGTGAGCTTTACCTGAACATCACTCACATCGCCGATATATGAGTCATCTAAAAGCACATTAACGACTTCACACCTCTGTGTAATGCAGAAAAGGGCAAGTGGGCCACTAGCTTTAAAAAGAGTTCAGAAGGAGCATGTTCCCATAGTCTTGCTAAGGTTATATAAACCTCTTACTTGTCCTCAGACAAGCCAGGTGAATATCGACAGAGTAGGGTACATATTATCACATTTATGCCCAAGAACCACACACCTAGGCGGGAAGCAGCCTAATTTCTGCGTCAACAAAAAAAGTCAATGCTAACGCTAAAGACAATGCTATCATGACCGTTATACAACAAACTGAGTGATAACTTACTCTAACAATGGCTAAACTTATCTTTTGAATAAAGATTCAATGCCAAGAACATATCAAACTTAATCATACAGTGACTTCTTCCAGCATTGAAACTTGTAAACAAAACTTTATCTCCCTACAGTCTGTGGGCGGCCCATCTGAGGTTTTCTGACAGTCTTTTGTCTCTCACTCTACCTCACATCCCCCTTTCTCTCGACAGTTTCCTTCAGGGTAACTTCACTTTTTTTGGAAATAGGCTTACACTCCCCCAGAGTTAAACAGTTGGGTTTTACCATTTTCAAATGCATTCAGCCGATTTTCTGATATTTAGAAGAATATCAGTAACCAGACAGTTTCTGGTCTCATTGACTTCCATAGTAGGAAAAAAATATACTATGGAAGTCAATGAGACGAGAAACTGTCTGGTTACTGATATTCTTCTAAATATCGGAAAATCGGCTGAATGCATTCGAAAACGGTAAAACCCAACTGTTTAACTCTGGGGGAGTGGTAAAATGAGCCTATTTCCAAAAAAAGTGGAGTATCCCTTTAAGTCAAACCCCTCCATTTTCTTTTTTTACCATTCTACATTATCAAATGATCCGAAATTGACAACAAAAATTGCAATTGAATTATGAGGTTGGGAGAGGTGTTGAGAAACTCTTATCATTGCAACAGGTAGGGTTGCAATACATGAATATAAATGTGCTCCTCCAAACAATAGTTAGAAACTCAGTAAAAATAAATCAACATCCATTAAATTTAGTTAGACTACTAGTATCAGTGTGTATAAGCATGTTTTATACAGTTATCTCTGTTCTGATCTGTAAGGTTAACTGTGAACAGAAAGAGCACAAAATGGACCTGCTCCATTTGCTTGCAAGAGTGCATCTGACTCTTGCTTTCGTTCTCTCTGTCTGACCTGAAATACCAGTAAGATTGTCAGAGACAGTTGAAGTCTAGACTCAACATGTAAATTTTTGATAAGACAGGCCAGAAATGAAGCGAGGTTTTTTTTTTTTTAAAGAGGCATTAAGTATGCGCTCCATCTCGCCACAGACCGCCGGGTACATGGTTTTTCCAGAACAACATCTGAAAGGACATTTCAACACTCCTAACGGAGTCTGAGTAAATGTCAACTACTATAGCTATTTCACCAAGCAAAATCTGCTTGTCTTTACTGGAATTGCAGCATTTTTAAACAAACAACAACTGTGCATAAACTGTGTAAGCGCAATTAATTCAGATGTTTTTTGTGTTTTAATTTAGACAACATATCAAGTGTATAATAAGTGGTTCAATAATACAATAGCTGTTCACAGAGGAAATTTTTCTTTTTGAAAGGTTGGAACTTTCAAAACTAGGGACACGTCTCAGGTGCACTTGATTAAACAAATGTAGTCTCAGGACATCACTAAATTCTTTCTTCTAAATGAAATCAGTTTTCTTATTTCTTTCTGTTTTTATGTTTAATTATGGATAAATTGAGAATTATGGTTAATTTATGTTTGAATTGCTGACTTGGACTCAATTTGGTCTTTAATCAATCATGCTAATGTATCTACAGTACAAGAAACAAGTAATAATTAGTCTTTCCTTTGGGGGTCTATAAGAGGTCTGAATTCACATCTTTGCCCACTAGGCTACATGGTCACCAGTTTATGTTGTGTTTTGGATGCTAGACTATGGTAGTGTCATTACCAGGCCTCCTAACTAGTTAAATCAGCATGCCTGCCTTAGTCAAAACCATTGTCATAAAAAAGCATGCTGGTTTTATCCAACAACGAAAGATATTGGTCCACCAACACTAACCGGAATAAATCATATTAATCTTATAGTAATATAGTAGCATACTTTTAGGATGTAATAACAAAATCATAACCAATAAATACAAAATGACCTAACATAAGGGGTAGGTGGACACCTGACGACATCTACCTGTGTATTTCTTATGATCCGCATTGTATTTACAATGTGAGGGGCAAATCAAACAATGGGGTCCGTGCATCTCCCGTTGCTCTTCTCTTTATTCTGAACATGCAGCCTGTTCTCATTAATATGCCATTCCTGTTCGCTCTCCATTTCACTGCCAGACCATTTGCAGACAGTGGCGGCTGTCTATGTTCACAGCTGTGTTTGATGGTACGGAGCACAAAGCTCACATTGCTTATGGCACAGACAGTCTCTGCAGGTCGGTCGGCCTCGACTTTCGAGCCATTTTGTCAGACAGGGCAAAGCTTATTCAATATTTAAGAATGTAAAATTCACTCCTTTCTATTTTATTAGGCACCTGTCCTGAAGTGAATAACCTGTAACGTGCCGGCATCAATAATCACTTTAATGTGTATTGACGGTCCATTTAACTTGTATGCCATTGTGAGCACAACAATAGACACGGAAACAATGAAGCTGATACCTGTGGATATTTTCTTCCGACGGGTAGTTGATGCCAGTGACTCGTTCAGAATGCGCACGCAGTAGAAGGGGTTAGCGCATTAGCATGCCTGTGGTGTTGTGAGTCTGGCCTGCCTGCTGCCCGCCTCTGGGCAATTAACTTTAATGACAGACAGGCTGGAGGGCTTTCAGAAGGTGCATCGGATAAGTTGATACAGATGCATAAAGACTGCCGCTCTATCTATCATCTCATATCTGTTCACTAGGGATCTCATCTGTCCCAGCCTGATTTTATGTTTTTTTTCTCTCAGCCCAAATAGAAACCCATTCATCTCAGCCAGAAGTGTATTTGAATGTGAATGGCGGGCCGTGATTGGCTTAGAGAACGTGCTCTGGGAATTTCCGCATTGTCTCTTAAGAGGAGGGTTTAAGTCGGAGCATGACGGAACATAACAAGAAATGCAATTTATTCCTGGGCACGGTTAACACTTGGACAGGGAGATAATGAAGAGCATAGGTCGCCGCCGATGACTTTAAAGCCACGCCGCTCGGGCTGAAATGTATTAAATATTACGAGCGTTATATGCCGCTGCTGTCTGAGGAAATGATATGAGGGGCTGTTAGTCAGAGCGAGAAAGCAATTAGTAATCGGCCGACGTTCGAAATCACCACATATCAGACACGTACTGATCACTGACATTAGAAAAGCCAGTGGCGAGAAAATGTGCTGGATTATTCCCTTTCAGCACCTTTTGATGTTTGCTCGATATTAATAACGGTGCAAGCTGCATCAATACATGTGAAATATATAAAAATAACAGTTCTTTGTGATCACTGTGGAAATGTTAGTCTTGTTGTTTAATATGGATTGACTGAAAAATCCAGGTCATTCTAGACTAAGGTGGTCAACTAGTTCAAGCTATGTTTTCAAGCATTGTTAACCAGCTCTAAGGGGTCAACCTTGGTCCCCTGTCAGTGAGTCGACCAAACCAATTTGGAAGAACTGATGACCATCTTCAACCAGCATAGAAACCATGTACAAATAGGGCCGGGTATTGATATTTGATTAAATTCCAGTATGAAGCTCTTGATTTGATTCAGTGTTGATAATATTAATTATAAAAAAAAAATGTATATTTTTCATATAAAAACCTTCAACTTAAATGAAATAACTGAAATAAATTAAGTTGAATTTGAAGTACTAAAATTATTAAAACAAAAACTGAAATAAAAATTAATTTAAGCTAAATAGAAATCAAATAAAATCATATACAATTACTAAAATGAAAATAAAAGCTAATTCAAAATATTTATAAATGTATAATAGCATGCAAATAATGTTAAAATAATACTAATTTGATTTGATAAGTTCCAATCCATATGGGTCTTATTTAAGCTTATAGCATGGTCTGTCTAAATACTCGATTCTGATTGGCTGTAAGGTGTAATAAAACCATTTAATGCACATGTCAGTTTAGGCCACGTTTACACAAAGCCGGGTATTTAGCTAAACAAATATTTTTCCCCTCTCCCAGTTTCTCCCAGTTCACACGACAACACATAACCGGTGTTTTCAGAAATCTCCACTTTGGCCGGAGTTTTTAGAAATAATCGTTTTCTGTGATAAAAACTTATCAACGCTGCCCTGCGACTTTTATTATTAAAGGAGTAGTTCACTTTTAAAAAACCTTTTGCTGATAATTTACTCACCCTCATGTCATCTAAGATATCCATGTCATTCTTTCTTCAGTCGAAAAGAAATTAAGGTTTTTGATGAAAACATTCCAGGTTTTTTCTCCGTATAATGGACTTCAATGGGAACCAAACGGTTCAAGGTCCAAAAGACAGTTTCAGTGCAAACTGTTCAAAGGGCTTTAAACGATTCCAGCACTGAAACTGTCTTTTGGACCTTGAACCGTTTGGTTCCCATTGAAGTCCATTATATGGAGAAAAATCCTGGAATGTTTTCATCAAAAACCTTAATTTCTTTTCGACTGCAGAAAGAAGGACATGGACATCTTGGATGACATGGGGGTGAGTAAATTATCAGCAAAAAGTTTTTTTAAAAGTGAACTACTCCTTTAAAAGTAGTTTCGCTGCTGAATCGCTACATTATATTTCTCAGCAACGAAGGGGTTACATCGCTATTTTGGAATAATTAAACTCACAGCTTCAATGTTAATAGAGAGAGAGACTGAAAAGACACAGGTACAACTCTCTCATCTCTCTCTCTCTCTCTCTCTCTCTCTCTCGATAATTAATTCAAATAAATGCTATAATTCATCCATTCAAATAAATGTAATCTTATTGCACTCCTTAATCTCCTCGTCTGATTCAAAGCAAACAGAATGCTACATCTAACAAGCCGTAACTGACGAAAATAACCGTCAATTTTACCCTTCAGGTCAAATATTACACTGCAAATATCAATAAAAGCTTTAAGTTGTCATTGGAGGCAAATTACCCCGGTATAAGCGCGATAATCCACGGCTAACTGTGCATTAAACGATTTGAATGCACTCTGCGGAGCCAACCTCTTCGTGTCGAGATTCTGTGTGTGTGTGTTTGATGGACACTTTACTATCCCATGAGCCCATGTGGAAAGGATTTGTGAATGCCAGGGAAGCTACACAACTGATGACATTCATATACTACACACATACATACATACTATATGAACATACATTTTTAATGGTCTTGATGTAATAGGTCAAGAGAGAATGCGAGTCATACATAACACCACACTGGTCTTGTGTTTTACGTGTTTTATTTATTCCCTGTAGTGGTGCTAGAAACCATGAAAAAAAAATGTGTAAAATGATTGTTTTTAAAAAAACGAACTTCCCTTAATTACAACAGGTGAACGAATGAGTCATTGTCTCTCTGCACGACAGGTGACCACCCGTTTGAGTGCGAGTTCTGCGGGAGCTGCTTCCGCGACGAGAGCACGCTGAAGGGTCACAAGCGCATCCACACCGGAGAGAAGCCTTATGAATGTAACGGCTGCGGAAAGAGGTTCAGCCTCAAGCACCAGCTGGAGACCCACTACCGTGTCCACACAGGTCAGACACTTTCATTCCAAACGTTTCAGGCAATTCACCTCAACTTCCCAGCCCTGCGGTCCAGCTGATGACTGCTTCACTTTACATGTGATTTCAAAAGCCGTAGAAGCTCACAGGTTAATAGTCACACACTGACCTGCTCTTCCAGCATGGAGATATTTGACCCTGCGTGGTGCCTTCAAGCTAATATGATATAAGAAAACAGCCTTGTAAAATGATAAATGAATTGTATTACATTTTGAGGCCCCAGTTTTACGCTGAAGAATTCAGATCTTGACATTTTCAGGTCCACGCTAGATTAAATTCCTTGTATCTATTTTGTTCGGTCATGGTCTCACTGCGGTGGCATATTAAATCTTTCAGCTGAGCTGGAATTACAGGCTGATTGCTGTTGCTCTCTGGCCCTCAATAAGGCAGCTGCTAAAGCAAACCTATCAGGAGGCCTGTCAAATAATTGCTGTCTTTGTGTCAAGCGGGGCTGCAGACACGAGACTGGACAGGTGAAGATAACAAGAGCAGAAACTCTCAGCTGAAAGGCCACTGCTCCTTCACACAACCAGCCGGAGAATCACTGACATTTACCCTTGCTGTCAATGGCCGATCAATACTCTGTTTGCTCTGCTCAGTGACAGGCAGCACACCCACAGTTCTGTTGTTCCCGTCTTGGACACCAGGTGGCATCTTAAAGGAGTAGTTCACTTTTTAAAAAACTTTTGCTGATCATTTACTCACCCTCATGTCATCCAAGATGTCCATGTCATTCTTTCTTCAGTCGAAAAGAAATGAAGATTTTTTTTCCCATATAATGGACTTCAATGGACTCCAAGAGTTTCAAGGTCCAAATGAGAGTTTCAGTGCAGCTTCAAAGGGCGATTTCAGACGATGAATAAGGGTCTAATCTAGCGAAAAGATCGGTCATTTAAAAAATAAATAAAAAAGTTGAAGTTTTATAGGCACAAATGCTCGCCTTGCTCTGTTCTGTGCTGCGCATTCGTGACTCTCCTGTTCGAACTCGCTTATCAAAATGAACGAATCTTTTTTCGAGTCATTTCATTCATTCAACGAACAAAATTAACGAAATGACTCGAAAAAAGATTCGTTCATTTTCGTTCAGAGTTCATCTAAAGTCCCAGCCATCATTTTCTTTTCCTGAATATTTTCAAAAAAGTGTTTTCAAGATAAAAAAGTATGTATTAGAAATATCATCAATTATTTTAAATAAAAGGTCAAATTCTCTGATTTTTTTTAGAGACCCATTATTGACCTTGAGAAGAAAGAAATAGCACACATAATAAACAATTAAAAAAATGCATGTGCAATTTCATTTTAAAGTTTCAGTAATATTGTTGCTTTAGTCATTTTTATTATTTTATATATATATATATATTCAGTTTTAATTATTTTAATAATTCATAAATGTATACATTAAATCAAAATTGAAATTTTTTTATGGAATATTGCCATATTTATTATAAATGATTTATCCGGTCACATCCTTATTTGTTATATTATATCCTTATATATATCCTTATTATATATTATTATGGGACCAGCTGTCACTCGTATGAGATCGACCAATAGCAAACTACAACGATCCAATCAATTCCCCATTGACAAAATCAATTCCCATCCTACATTTTTTTCCTGTTCGAGAAGCTGTTTCACTCGGTGTACGTCACAATAGGGAATAAAAGCTTCCGTTTCATGTCGACTTTTTAAACTAAACGCAAATGAGAAATGATGAAATAAAATAAGTTTAAGGTCTTTTTATATTTTGATAATAATTACCCTGGAATACATTCATGGATCCAGACATCTATCACATTATGGAAGTAAAATGCATTGTGATGCTGACTTTAATCAACACAGCTGTTTCTGTCATTTACACGTTATTGGTGGTTTGAAACGTTCTGTACTTGTTCTCCACAGGTGAGAAGCCATTTGAGTGCAAGCTGTGCCACCAGCGCTCACGGGACTACTCCGCCATGATCAAACACCTGCGTACCCACAACGGCGCTTCGCCCTACCAGTGCACCATCTGCCAGGAGTACTGCCCCAGCCTCTCATCCATGCAGAAGCACATGAAGGCCCACAAGCCCGAGGACGTGCCCCCAGACTGGAGGATAGAGAAGACGTACCTGTACCTCTGCTACGTGTGAGACGGAGCCGCAAAAAGGAACGGAAAAATGGCAAGATGCGCCCAAGGACAATTCACCTGAAGGTTTGCTTTTGGTCCAGGCCAAAGACAGTAGGGCGCGTGGTCAAACTGATGAAATGTGATGTGGAGTTTTTTTTGACGTTTTGTTTGTGATATGCATTTGTGCACATTTTTAGGATGTAACTGCACTCAAAAATGTTTATGAAATGTGATGAGCGATAAAGGGATCGTGAATTATCAGAAAGTGTTAGTACAGTCCACCACGAGTATCCGTGTGTCTGCATTCCAACCTGTTGATTGGAAAAAATTCACTGCATGGTCATACTTGTTTTATTCGGATGGATGAAACCCATAAGCCATAGATTTTCAAACCCTATAAAATCACTTGTGTTGATGTTTAGAGGTGGGGCATATCATAGGGATCATCCAGTAGGCTATAGTTACATCACAACCATGATTTTAAATGGTCAGGAAAAAAGAAAGAAACGTTTGGGGCGCGAAGACACAAAAACTGGGCTGCACGTGACTGTGTGGATGCCCGCGGACCCTCCTCATGGCAAAAATTACGTCACACGGACAATACGCGAACAGTTGCAGAGCGCGCGCGGCCGAAGTATACTTTGAGCTTTAAATGTCAACGTTTGGGGCTACGCTAGCAACCTCTCAAAGCTAACAGAAAGCCTCAAATTTAGATTCCTGGTGATCTTAACAGAGCTATTCTGAGTCAAATAAAAACATGGACCAAAGCTTAAAACTCGATACACGATCAAATAGAGGAGCTAAACACTAGCAGATGAAATTATGTCCTTTTTAGTAAATTGCTCCCTTAAGGTCATTATTAGGCTTTCTAGTCCTCAATTTTAGTGATTTTTTTTTTAATATAAGTACATGTGAGGAAATGAACAGGGTTGGACCCATTAGTCATTTTCTTTAAAGCGTAATAAAGTGCTTAACAAAACAGCTTTTCTCAGAGGTACATCCAAATTATGCTGCCAAGCAACCGTTGTGGATGTTGTTCAGGGACATTTATTCAACCTTAAATAACTACACTGTGCACTTTCAGAGTTTCAGAGGCCCTTTTTTGTTGTTTTCAGCACTACAGAGAGGTTATTCCATGTAATTTGCTTTCATTTCAGTCTCTTTCGCACCTAATAAAACAGTATGAGAGTCGATTGCATTTTTACGTTCACATGGTAACATTTTGCTATTGCAGGCATTTTAGTCTAATGGATTAAATCATAAATCAGTTTATAAATTAAAAAGAGATTATTTTTTAGAAACAAATACCGAAATGCAGTATATGTTTCTGCGGACATGTCAATATATGTTTTGCTTAAGATACTTAGCTAGTTAGCTAGCCGTTATTTGTTGAATTCTGTCATCTCTGTTCAAACGTTTTACTTGAATTGCCTAATTTTGTTACCTCACATGCTAGATTTTTTACTAGTCTTTGTTTCTCATTTCCTGCTGAGCTGCTAAAAACCGCACAATGCAACAGAATTCATCGGTATCAGAAAAACACATCATCAGACCCACACGGAATCCAAGAGATCCGAGACATTGAGCAGAATTAGAATGGCCGTTCACAACGTTCTATATATTGCGTTACATTTGCGTTGTATACATTTAGCAGACGCTTTTACCCAAAATGACATTGTATTCAAGGCATACATTCTCTCAGTGCAGTATATATTTCTGCTGCCCCTTATGTGTTTATTTTTTGATTAAGCGGCAACGGATTTAGTTGGAGATAAGACTGTAGCTCTTTACATTTAAAACATTTTACAATGTTTAAATGTATTCCACACTATTGGAGTATTTTCCAAAAAATCTGTGGAATAATCTGTGGAAATTTATAAGGCAATTTGTAACTATTTTACGTTTTGTTGAATTGATGGCTAATTCGTATTGAATTTGTAAGATCTCATTTGTTTTAGTACGATCTGTTTATGGCCAACGGCCGGTTTTAGGGTGGACCTTAATGCTTAAGTTCTTCTAAAAATTTTACTTTACTGAACGAATCACATTGTACGAATTCATACAAAATCACCACTTAGGCCGTGTGTCCACCAAATCGTTTTTAGCCAGCTGAAAACGCCAGACGCTCTGCTGAAGACGCCATGCTTTTGGCGCTTGAGAGTGTTTTTGGCAGCGCAGCGTTTTTCCGTTGAGACGTTTCGTTGCTATGATACAGAATATCCGCAACATAGTTTACTTGTGACTGATTTCGCAGATAATTTGTTTCATACTAAAATACTAATTTTTCATCCATTTTGTTCGGTTAGCTCTGCTGGTTGATGTCAGTGTACAGAAAGAATGTTGTGACAGTTGGTGTGGTTTAGTCCTGCCCCTTCTCCACTGTGATTGGATGGCTGGGTAAAAAGTGACAGTGATGAGCGCTGCCTTTTATCCAAAGTTGAGAATTTTTTTAACTCCCGGCAACCAGTAAAAAACGCTGGGTGCTCGGCGCGAAAAAAACGCTCAGCGTCTCGTTACGTTCATGGCGTTTAAAAAAACGTTTAAAAAAAAACATACGCCAGGCGTGTGGAAAATCACTTTGGTGGACACATGGCCTTGGTCACCTCAAAATCACACAGCATAAAATAGTTGTTTTCTCATGAGGTCGGGTTGGAAATCCCAACACAATCTCATGACAATTCGTAACTATTTTCATTTTATTCGTAATCTCATTTGTATTTTATGTATGATCTTTTACACCATGGTTAAATTTAGGTTTGGGTTTTTATGTTTCCTTACAAATCACATTGTATGAGTTCATATGTAATCGACCGTACGAATCACATCGTACAAATTAAAACAAACTCACCACCTCATAACACAGTTACGTTTTCTCATTAGCTCGGGTTAGAAATACCAAACCAATCCCATGGCAACTATTTTATGTTTAATTCGTAATAATAACACTTGCATGGTTTCGTACGATCTGGTTACCACCCCAATGATGGTTTTGTTTAGGGGTGGGGTTTGGGCTTTATGCTTACCTTTTTTGGTCCCACTATATATTAAGTGGCTTTAAGTACTATGTACTTACATTGAAACGAATAATTTGATACAATGGAATTATTGTGTACATACATGTTTTTACATTGTAGCCTACTTGTATTTAAAAAATACCAGCATGTAATTAAAGCTGTAACTAATTTATGTAATTACATCTGTAATTACACAGCTGACCCATCCCTTATACTTAAACCTACCCTTAAACCGACCCATACCACCACACCTGTCCCTAACCTTCCCCGTATCACACCTCAATAGCAGCAAAAGTGTTTTACAATACAACATGAGCACAATAACTACATTGTACTTATTTTTACTTAAAGCCACTTAATATAAAGTGGGACCTATTTTTTTTTTCATTGCCTTACAAATCACATCGTACAAATTCATACGTGATAACCATCTCGTAAAATATGAATCAACGTGATACCGATTTTCATGTGAGGACGAACATTTTTCACCAAAGCAGATTTCGCAACACGAGTTGGACATGCAAATTCGCAGCGTTTGAAAGTGTTTTTTTGTGTGAGTGGAGCTTCATCGCTACATTGTTAACACAATGGACAATGGAAAAAAATTGCTAATGTGACCACACCTTACATGCGGATTCCGTCTGGGTCTGTGCATTATTCAGTGGTATTTTAGCGTTAAGCGTACTACAAGTGTGCATATCTTGTCTCTCGGCCATCTGTTTCAGGACTACCTTCTCGGTTTTGCACTAAAGCAAAAGCACACTTTTGTTTTGCTTGTAACTAGCATTTTCTTTTACACCCACTCTCATTTTTCCATTCGCTTAAAAAAAAATCCCGGTTCATTCGTCATTATATTTACACTCCTTATGATGAAACATAATCAGACTGAAAGAGATGCATACATTCTAGATAATTTTAGAATAGCATTGAAAAAATGTTTAGTTAGTAGATTCTTGAGGGGATAAACTTGAAACAATGTGAATAAAAATGATCTTTTTATGTGAAAATTATTCAAGCGGTAAGTCATCAGAGATGCGATACTGATGCGTGCAGTTACGTGGGGATATTCGCTAGAGAAAACAAACGAATAGGTGATTTTCTGTGAAAATAAATCTCTCGACAAGAGCCAAACGCGGCACTTTGATAAGGGAATATGTTGTATTTTTGTACGGGGTATTGTGCGACCCTTGTTCTTTTGTTCATTTTTAGTGAGGCGAATATTTTTACAGTATCTTTTGCATTTGTGCTTGTTCTTGATTTGAGTGGAAAATTGTTTTCTTGTGCTTATTTTACAATGTTAAACATACAAGTAGTAGATGTTTGTAAAAACATATTGTAGTCATTGCTGCTGGGTGTCAGTTCATATGATGATAATGATGATGATGATGATGATGATTCCACATTTTAAGTATAAAATGACATTGAGTGAGCTAATGCCAAGAGTTTTAGGTCTACGACAAGCGTCAAGGAGCACAAGCGACGTGTAAGACGTGAAAAGTAAAGCTGTATCTGTGTGTTTGTATTGTGTTCACCGATCACTGTAAGATTAGAGTCACCTATAAGGTCTGTACTGGTCCTCGTGTGTGCAGTGTGAGTCAATGTGGTCGATTTATTCAGTGTTAAATACATGCACCGAGAGGTGCTGTCACAGACACCCTGTAAATGATTTGAAACATCTTCTGCCCTTTGTATTTGTGTCTTTATGCAAAGTCACCTTGATATGAACTGTGCTCTTAGGCAATCGGGGATGCCTTCACTTTACCCACAGAACAACAGAAATGTCGATTTCAGGATAAACACCCTACTTTCTCCGTCTTTATGGACACTGTGTTTAGGTTTGTAAACCCTTTCAGCTACTTTTTTTCAGTCATCACAAGCAATAAATCTACAGGTCAGCATGTAAGTGAAAACTTGGCATCCCTGCCACTGTATCACTGTGTTTTACTTTGCTTTCAGACAGGAAGTAGCCATGTCACTCAGTGCTCCCATATTTGTGCCATTGTTACACAAATTAATACTCGGACTGAGGATCCACGTGGGACCAAACGGCCATTTCGCTCCATTTGCCTTGTTCTAGTGACAAGACCGTGTTCTTGGTGTCGAAATGGTTTTGCATTCGTCATGTTTTACTTTTTTGTATTGTCTACCTCAGCACCAGTTCTTTGTGTAACTTTTAAAAGGTGCCCAATTATTGTTACTTTGTTTTGTGCTTAAATTTTGTATTATAGCCTTGTAGGGTTTTTGTTCTTCTTCTTTATTTCAGCATAGAGATGCTGTTTTGAAGCACTGTGTGGTGTTTTTGATGCTGCAGATAGAGGTGTAGATTCATTTCCCCTTCTCTATGTGGGTTCAGACACATCTCTGTATATGTCAGTGTTCGAAAATAAACTTGTAAACAGAAATGCCATGCGATTGAGAGGGGTTTTTTTCCCACCGTTCTAAGCTTTCTGTGTGAGAATTGTGTGAGGGGGATGATATGATCATTTTTGTTTGACTAGAGCGCTAGTGTCGGCATGTTGGGCTTTTATGTGGCGATTGAGTCCTCTAGTGGCAGAAACCAACCTTGACTTGCCCATCTAAAGCAATTTTTTCAATAGATAGCAAGAGCATTTAAATAACACAAATGTGACTTATATGAAAGATGATAGATAGATTAAGAAATTAAATGAATCAACAACAACAAAGTTTCCCATTAGGACCTGAAAGTGCAGGTGACCCTTAGAAATATGGAACATTGTGTAGTCCCATAAGTATTATTAGGCAAAAATGTGTTTTGTGTTGTAAGAACTATTATGCATGTTAGATAAATTAAAAATGAAACTTACAAATAACCCTGTTAAATTGTTCTAAGAAAAATTGTGAATTAATTGAGCTGTTTATTTAATGTTCATTACAAATGGAAAATAATAAAACTCACACAATTGTAATCCGTATTAAGAAAAATGTTTAACTGTTAAAAAAATTACAGACCTAAAATGAAAAAATAATAATAAGGCAGCTCAAATTGTTACTCTGACCTCTAGAAATGTTTACATTCAGGCAATATATATATATATATATATATATATATATATATGTATATATATATATATATATAGACATTATTATCATGATTTACAATCACAGGGATCAAAGTCTGATTAACACTGATAACTTACAATATATGTGCAGTCTAGGGATTTCTAAAATTAACTATGAATGCAATTATTGCTTTTGATTAATTAAAACATTGTATGAATATATAAAGCAAAAAAAAACTACTCTTTTTTTTTTGATTCTCTGAATAGTGTAAATATCTTGCTGTTTACCTGTGGAATGGCTTTAAATCCTTAGTGGCTCATTAGGTTTGATGAAAGTAATTAAAACTGCCATTCATTATTTAAACAAACCCTCTCTATTTAGCCTTTTAATTGCTAATAAGCATGTTTGTTTGGAAAGCTATCAGTGTGACCAAGGCATTAACTAACTGCTAGCTGTTAACAGGAGAAAGACTGAACAAATGACACGTTGTAATGACCTGTGAGCTGTAATGAGGTCTACAGAGAAAACAGATGATTAGTCCCGAAAGACAGTGTTTCTTTATCACAGAAGACTTTTGTGCAGGTGACCTTTGAAAAAGCTTTCATCCACCAGGTCTGGATCAGCTTAGTGTAATGTCCGATTAGTGAACAAGCTTGTTGTTTTGAACTGGTTCTCTTTAGTGAGCTGGATGAACCAGTTCTCCAAATCATCTGGAACAGTTTGCGGCTTAAGATCTGACTGACAGTCACTGTATATATGATGCCCGTAGTTCTCGAGTCAACAGTAGTAGCCTACACTGGTGTGACAGCAGCTGTCGGTTAATGGTTCTCGAATCAGTTATCGAGTCGCCAGTAGCCTACACTGAACTGAGAAAACAGTTCGAACTCAAATGTCTGTGAAGAACCACTTGGAAGCTACTACTGGTTTGCAAGAGCGATTATAAATACTGAGGCTGTACAAGCAGACTAATGAGATTTCCTGTTCAGTCCAATGACAGCCTCTGCAGTCCCATTGACTTTTTTTTTCTGACGGTCAACATTATTTCTGGCATTTAAGCAAAAACCCATTTAAAAAAAAAATAGTGACTTGGTTGAGTCTGACCGGAGGTGCTAAAATGTGCCAACTAGTTTCCAGGTTTCGGCCTACAAAACTTTCCAAAACGCCATTTTAAAAATAAATTAGTTTGTCGTGTCATTTTGCTGTGTACAGAACCTATTCACTGCTCCAAACCGCGATAAGCGCCAAACCTATTTTTAGCCTAAACACTATAAAGCTAAACCACAATATTAATAGCACATTATTTGATTTCTAAAAGATAGGCTAGAAACATCTACACTGATGACTTGAGTGTCTGCAAACAAGACAAGGTCCATCTACAGCTTTGTAAAAACAGCACAAAGAAATGAGAGATCAGAGGTTATGCGCAACTTCCACCTTCTCACTTATTTTTGCTGCCTTATGAAATTAACAGGAAACAACTTGAGCAGTACGTACAGTTTGAAAGCAATAAATGAGAAGCCTTTGATTGTGCGTGTAGTGGTGGGGATTCTTCTCTATGTGAACGGACTGATGATTTTCACTTTTCTGAAGAAGGAGACCTTCAGGGACACGCGCTATTCTGTTTGCTCAGACTCTTTTTGTCGACATGTTTTATCAATACCCTGTGCAAATAAATCCTTGCTGTATGATCTGCACACAATGATGTCTTTTCTCACATTTTGTACAACTATGTGTTTGGAGAGCTATGTGGCTATATGTTTGCCTTAAAGGCATGCCAGCATCTCCACCCCCAAAAACACATTCATTGGGCTTCTCATCATATATTACGGGGTGTCAGTTTTTCTTTTGCTTATCTTTCACTTGGTGCCAGGTATGTGTAATGTGGAGATCATGTTACTGGTAAAATGGCTGGCGGACATGTGGGCAGCAACGCTAGCTCTTATTCATTATAATTTTGTGTATTATTGTCTCACTTACATCAAGATTATGGTGGTGGCCAGGTCTGCCTCCTCTGAGAACAAGAAGTCAATCAACGGTTCTAAAAACTGTTTTGGCATTCAGCTGCTTCTGTGTATGGCACAGCTATCTATATAAAGGCCTTATATAGATAAAGCCTTTAAATATGGTCACCAGCATCAGTAGTGTCATGTCTGCTCCTCACCACAAGATGTCACACTCCACCGTCTAAATAACCATCCCGAACGTTTCTGATCTCTTCTACTCCAGTGGTTCTCTATGGAAGCTTGTTTCCGCCACTGAATAAAAAAATAAAATAAATAATTGCGACTTTTTATCTCACAATTCTGACTTTTTTTCTCACAATTGCGAGATAAAAAGTCCGAATTGCGTGATATAAAGTCGCAATTGCGAGATATAAAGTCAAAATTGCGAGATATAAAGTCAGAATTGCGAGATATAAAGTCAGAATTGCGTGATATAAAGTCGCAATTGCGAGATAAAAAGTCAGAATTGCGAGATATAAAGTCGCAATTGCGAGTTATAAAGTCAGAATTGCGAGATAAAAAGTCAGAATTGCGTGATATAAAGTCGCAATTGCGAGTTATAAAGGCAGAATTGCGAGACATAAAGTCAGAATTGCGTGATATAAAGTCGCAATTGCGAGTTTTAAAGTCAGAATTGCATGATATAAAGTCAGAATTGTGAGATTTAAACTCTTCTGATGGGGAAAAAGAATTGGCCTAATAAGTCGCAATTGCGAGTTTTATATCTCACAATTCTGAGAAAAGATGTCAGAATTTCGACATATAAACTCGCAATTATGTGTTATAAAGTCAGAATTGCGAGATGTAAACTCGCAATTGTGAGAAAAAAAGTCACACTTCTGTCTTTTTTTCTCAGAATTGCGACTTAATATCTCACAATTCTGACTTTATATCACGCAATTCTGACTTTATATCTCGCAATTCTGACTTTATATCTCGTAATTCTGACTATATAACACACAATTCTGACTTTATAACTCGCAATTGCGACTTTATATCACGCAATTCTGAGAAATAAAGTCAGAATTGTGAGATATAAACTCGCAATTGTGAGAAAAAAAGTCAGAATTGTGAGAAAAAAAGTCAGAATTGTAAGATAAAAAGTCACAATTCTTTATTATATTTTTTATTCAATGGCGGAAACAAGCTTCCATAGTTCTCAGCCTCAAACCTCCAACAAATCATATTTTTTCCACCTCCAGAATTAAAGACATTTTATTATTTTCTGTTTTTCTTTTCTTTTTTTCAGATGTAAAGCCATTATTGGTCACAATTATTGGCACCCCGTGTTAATATGATCAAAAAAAAAAAAAAAAAGCTGTAAAAATAAATCTGCATTGTTAATCCTTTCGATCTTTTATTCTGTAAATTCACAAAAATCTAACCCTTCATTGAAGTAAATAAATTAAAAGTGGGGGGAAATCAAGATAAGAAAATGTTTCTCCAAAACATGTTGGCCACAGTTATTAAGAGCTATGTTTGCTTCTAAATTAAGGACATTTTATAAAGAAGTTTATTGAACATATTGGGAAATATACAGTAAATATGCATTCTTCCACAACCGAAGTGTTAGTCAAAATAATGGCAATAATACAAACTGTTCACATTGAACATTTGTAACCTAATGTTGGTTTTCAACATAAGAGACACCAAATTTGACTTTTTTCCCAGGTGATCGTTAATATACAGCATATGTCTGAAGTTCCCAATGACACTTTTCAACATATTGTAATTACAACCCTTTCCCCAGAAGCGGTGAAGTGTTGGGTCTATGACACCGTGGCACAGGTGAGGGAGGGTGGTGCTAAGCAGGCTGTATCCTATCAGTGACAGGGGGATATCTTTGGAGATGTTTGGCTGGTTCAGGCAGTTATAGGCCCCATGACCCCCTTGGTAAAACAACGGGTTCATTCTTTGCTCCGCTGCTGACCTCATTGTCTCTTTGTGAAGTGAAAATCCAGAGTTGCATTCTGCTCAATGGTCCGACAGCTGCTGGTGTGTGTAGCATCTCTGCTGTGATGGAGGTGAGTGGATGAGAGAGAGTCCGAGCAGCTGCCGCCAGGAAACCCCTGGATCCAAATGACCAAAACATGGTGAGTCCCAGTGTCCTGAAATTCAGAGGCATATCTTTATTCAATTATTATATTTGGAAAGATGATGTTTATTGGGTGCGATATGAGATTATGTTTTTGATTTTTGGAAATATTAAAGGTGAAAGTCTTTCAAAAATGTTTTATTTTTATTTTATTTTTTTTAACCTTGGTGCTTTATGAAACTAGTGCGATTCTATGAAGAAAATAATGTATTATTAAATTTCTAAAATAAATACAATTTAATTTATATATATATATACATTAATTTGTTTGCTGTTTACTTAAAATAACTAGCTATATTATTTTAGTGAATTAAGTTAATTTAATTTAGTGATGGAGTGTTTAGTGATAGTTTATAAATAAAGAAATCTATTGAAATTATTTTCACAAGACATACAAGACAAAATGTTGTCTTGTTGCTGCTGCTGCTGCTGTTGTACTGTACAGATTTTTGCAAAGTATGTCATTAGAATTTCATTTGCATTTAGAAAAGCAGTACAAACAGGGGTTTTATTCTGAACACAAGTCAATGTGGCACCAGATCTCTGTTATTGGCTTAACACTGACACTGTGATTGGACATATCTTACAGAGTCTCAGTAGAGATGCTGTGGCAGTGATTGAGAATCCTGTGGTGGTCAGTCAGTCTTTGCACACAGAGCATCTACAGGTGGACATGATTGAGACGGGACAGAATGATCCCACCTGGCACAGAGAACTGCAGTTTCTCCATCCAGGCAAGTCTGTTACTAACACACACCGGAGTAGACATCTGAGTAGTTTCTTTTTATATATATATATATATATATATATATATATTTAAAAAAAACTGCATGGTTTTCAGTATTGACATTTGCTATTTTGGACATCATATGAACATTTGTGGCAATTATTTCATTCAGTGTCTGGCAAAGTGTCAGCCCATAAACTGGTGAGAGTGTTTGCAGCTCTGTGTGTACTGTGTCTGCTGGGAGGTGTTGTCATTGGAGTTTGGTTCATAGGTAAGACGTTAAATCATTCAAACGCATTGTTCAAATTTTGTGCAAGGTTTCACAGACAGGGCTTAGATTTATCCAGGATTAAGCCTTAGCTCCAAAACAATGGCACTGACATAGTTTAAGAAATGTCAGTACAAGTTGCTTTCAGTTAAAACAGCTCAATAATGCATTTTAGTCTGGGACTAGGCTTAAGCCTTGTTTGTGAAACCAGGGGTAAAAGAAATATTTATGCAGTGAAGAGTGAACATTTAATGTCTTTGTCCAGTGAAAATTCTCTTAAGGCCTAATTCAGCTCAGAGCCCTGCCAGCCTGGGAGACGCCAAAGACACGTCCTTCTGCAACATAACCGAGGACATCTCTGTGACAGACCCCAGGAAAGGTATTTGTCCCCCATGCTTTTTATGCACAGACTCTGTAATAGAGCCCGACCGATAAAGGATTTTGAAGGCCGATACCGATACAAATATTTGTCGGTTTTAAAATCCGATATTCCGATATATCGGCCGATATTTGTATTTTTTCCAGAAACACGCAACAAAACATTAACAGATTTCCCTAACATTAGTTATTTTGTAGTTATTTATGAGTTTTTAACTAAAATAATATGATAATGCATTTTAAAAAGAAACTTGATTCTTTTATTGTCACAGCAGAACAGAGGAATATCAAAATATATTGATATAGCATGTAGTGGTGGCCAGATGTGTGGCGTGTGTTGCCAACAGGGACAATATAGAGTGCCCTCTGGTGGACACACTATACAACTCCAACACTCATGACATGGTTGAAGCGTGTTTCGTCCATTTTTATTTTATTTTTGAAATATTCATTTATCGTCCATTATAACTGCCGATACCGATAGTTTGGAAAATGCCTAATATCGGCCGATAAATCGGTCTGGCTCTATGTTTAACAACAACAGAGACACCGCAGGTAAACAGCACAGTGGACGTTCATCCAAACTCACTGGTATTACAAACAAAGTGACATAAACAATGCCCTGTGAAAGCTGTAAACACATAAACAAGAGAAGCACGCTAAAGGGAGAGGAAGTAAAAAATAAGTGGGCTATCCAACTAGTGTTGTAACTAACTGAAAGAAGCAACGTTACCAACTTTGAGTTTATTGTAGAGTGATAGTTCAGTGTTTCAGTGTAACTTTTACAGTATGCTTTTAATGCCTGGCCTAATGGAAGAGTCAAACACGGCTAAACAGTCCTTTCTCTCATATGTAACAATGCAAAGTCTCATTCATTTGTGAATTGGTTCATCCTAAATTCACCTCTACTCCCTCGTGTGAAAGCCCTGAAAAGTCTGATGCTTTAGTAAATTGGTTAATCTTAATCTATAAATACCATAAATAGCAGTGGATATTCCTTTATTGCCCTCTCCTTTATATGAAATCCTTAAAAAAATTGGATTTATAGTGAAACTTTCATCCTAAACACTACTCTAGTGAGTGTTGGAAAGTACAATTTATTCTAGTGAATATTTTTTGATGCAAGTAAATTAACAAATTTGAAACAATTATTCACCCATTCCAGTCGCCTGCGTAACACTGTTGATTGAATGATTTTTGTTTAAAAAATAAAATTAGTTTTTATTTTTATGTTTCGTTTCATTTCAGTTCACTTTAGTGAGTTTTTGTAATTTTTTATTCTTTTTTGTATAGTTTTAATTTATTTTTATTACAGTTTTAAATAAGTGAAAATATTTTGTTCATATTTTATTTCAGTTAATGTTCCTTTTATTTCAAGTCATCATTACACATCTTTTTTTTAATGGTTTTACGTTTACTTTTGGTTAACAATAATAACCCTGCTGGGGTTTCTGTGGATGGTTATGTGTGTCTGGAGTGCTAGAGAGAAAAGAATCGGAAAAAAAATATCCTCATGCATGCTGCTCAGTTGTTTATTGTGTTTGTGTGTTCAGTCGGTTATGTCAATTATGGTGTTTTTGTTGTATTTGATATAAATGTACCAAGCCTGATCCAACTTAATGAGGTTACAAAATACTACAATTTCAACACAATCCTTTTATTTGAAATTCTTTAAACAAATTCAATTAAAACATCATATCTCATGACAGCAGTCTCATCCACAGCGCTACAGTTTGTGATTTTGACTGAATGGGGCTCAGTGTTTTACAGGATCAGTGTGGAGAACTCTCTTCTGGAGATCCAGCTGGAGAAGCTACAGACGTGGCTGCCCGTATGTTACGAGAGGTGGAACTCTTCTCTGGGAACGCTCGTATGTCGACAGCTGGGCTATCTGAGGTGAGCATGCTGACAGCTAAATCACACACACACACACACACTTACAGCTCTCAGCACCTTTCACTTGAGCACCATCTGTGGCTGTTTTCTATAGGTCAACCATTCATAGAACGACAGCAGTGTTGAAATGTACTTTGAAGTCCGTTCTAATTCAAATCATGACATGACATGCCGAGTACAGGTATTTCGAAGAATATTAAAGAGATAGTTCACCGAGAAATGAAAATTCTGTCATCATTTGCTCACCTTTATGTCACTCCTGAGCTGTATGACTACTACTACTGTGGAACTCAATTGCCCGGTTCCACAGACGAGACTTACACTAAGCCTAACCTCAGACTAAAATGCATGTTTGAGCAGTCAACTTGCACTTTTGTCAGTGCCGCATTGTTTTGTCTCAATATGCACACCAGTAATGTTTTTTTTAAAATAAAAGTTAAATACATTATCCTTATTTAACCAAGGCCTATTGCCTGTGAAACCAGGCCAATAGGAAATATTTTTTCAGAATCTTAGAGCTGCTGTTTTTTGATGCAATGAAAGTGAAAAGTGTTCCAAAAAGCACAATGAAAGTTCTGTATTGTAGAGCATACAACCGTTTAAATAGGCTATGCATAAACGTAAACATGATCTGATGGCTACAGTGAACGACAAGAAATTTGGAATGACGTTAATAATGTTGATGGAGTTTTATTAATTTATTTTTAGCAAGTGTGGCAATCTAAGTTTTGTCAAACAACCTCTTCTTTCAGATTATCGAAGCACAAAGGGGTTAATCTGACTGATATTGGGCCGAACTACACTGATGGATTTGTCCAAATCACCTCAGAAAACCAAAGTAATTTGGAGAGTTTATGGCGTTTCAGGTGAACAAGAAACTAATTTAATGGATGAGTTTCCGGAACAACAACAGTCATAAATTGAATTAATTTTTTTTCTTTTTTTACTCTAGAGGAAGCTGTAGTACAGGAAAGGTTATAGCATTAAAATGTTTTGGTGAGTTTTAAGTTAATATATAAGTCTGAAATAATACTTCCTATCCACATACATGTGTTTGCTCGTAATTTGGTTCATTATAGAGTGTGGGACCAGAGCAAAGTTACCCAGGATTATTGGAGGAGTGGAAGCCACTCTGGGCAGATGGCCTTGGCAAGTGAGTCTCTACTACAGCAACCGCCACATCTGCGGAGGATCCATTATCACCCACCAGTGGATAGTTACAGCTGCTCATTGTGTCCACAAGTAAGATTCTACATTGACATTCAAATCAACATGAAATGGAAGTTGCAATAGTATTTTTTCCCCCAAGTCAAATGGCTTCTTGAACAAATAATAAAAGTAGGACAGGACTTGATTTTGTCTATTGGGACTTGATTGGATTGTTTTGGTTACTATTGCTGCACTAATGAGGGCCGAGGTTGTTCCGCCCTCACCCGAAGAGATGTTGCTGCAAGAGGGAGGATAAGTTATTTAAGTTACGTCTTAAATATCATGTAAAGCGATTGTGTTGCTTCAGATAATTTGGACTAAACTGCTCAATTCATAAGAATTAGTTTTACAATCTCTTTAAGTATCAAATGGGTAATTGTGTAGGCTGTCAATGGATAATCAGAAATCATTAATCATTAAAAATATCTTAATTTTTGTTCTGAATATGAATTAAAGTTTTACCGGTTTGGTACGATATGAGTGTGAGTAAATAATGACAGAAGTTTCATTTTTGGGTGAACTAACCCTTTAAGTGTGTTTATGGTCTAATTTGCTTATTGAAGCTACAGGCTACCTCAAGTGTCCAGTTGGGTGGTTTATGCTGGCATTATAACCAGTAATTCAGCTAAACTGGCTGAATACCAAGGCTTTGCTGTGGAGAGGATCATCTACAACAAGAATTACAACCACAGGACTCATGACAATGATATCGCTTTGGTTAAATTAAGAACTCCTTTGAACTTCTCAGGTGAGCGATACTTTATTAATCACATGTATAGTATGTGTGCCACAATATGTCATGTATCTCATTAGGCATATCTGCTATTTCTTTCTTTGCACATTTAGACACCATCAGACCTGTGTGTCTTCCGCAGTATGACCATGATCTCCCAGGTGGGACCCAGTGCTGGATCTCTGGTTGGGGATATACACAGCCAGATGACGGTAGTGTTATTCTTCAAATGAAACTCAATGAGGGCCTCTAGTGGCCAAAACAAGTCCATAATCCTCACATAAATACTTACTATTTATCATTTTAGATGTAGGATTTAAAAGCTGTCATAAGACATTGCACTTTTTGTAAATGTAAATTATGTCCATTCTTTTTTGAAGTTCATATACCAGAGGTTCTCAAAGAGGCACCTGTACCTTTAATAAGTACAAAGAAATGCAATAGCTCTTGCATGTACAATGGAGAGATCACTCCTCGAATGCTTTGTGCAGGTTATACAGAGGGAAAAGTAGATGCATGTCAGGTGAGCTCCATGAATGTTACTCAAAATACATGTCATGTGTAGTATGTTTTTCACAAATACATGATATTGAAATAATAATGGATCTTCATTTTCTTAGGGGGACAGTGGAGGCCCTCTGGTTTGCCAGGATGAAAATGTTTGGAGGCTGGTTGGTGTTGTTAGCTGGGGAACAGGCTGTGCTGAGCCAAACCATCCAGGGGTTTATACCAAAGTGGCTGAGTTTTTAGGGTGGATATATGAGATTATAGAGGTAAGTAAATGAAGAGACAATGGCCCTTGAAATTCAAACTCTGCTTTTAACTTCCTTTTGTGCTCTATTGCATCCTGATTCCTGTCCTAGAGCTACTAAAGACTGATGTTTGAAGAGAAGAATATCCTGACCTGTGGCCTTTTTATTTTATTTATTATATTTTATTATGTAACACCTCAACATTTACACAAGGTAAAGATTACATTTAGATGTTTGTACATTGCATGTTTACTGTTGTGTTAGCCTTATCAAGAAAATTGTGATTTTAAAATAAACGTTTGATATTTACAACAGAGAACAATGTGAGCAGTTCTGTTCATTTTTTTATTCAAAATAAAATCGTGGAGGGGGTTGTCCACCGATTTCTCGGAAATACATTTGTTGCAGTGTTTCGTCTACATAACAGTACAACCCACTGAAGAGATGTCTGTTTATCCTCACCTTTATTTTACTGTCTATTATCCTCACAGCCTCACTTTCATTCCAGTTCAAAGATGGCGCTGCTGTGTAAGGTATGATTTCCATCAAAAGTAGAGGTCAACGTTAACTGTAACTGTTAAGCTTCGTCCAATCACAGTTTCTTGTGGTTACTTAATGACTTAATAATATTCTTTGTAAAAAAAAAAAAAAAAAAAACAGTTGTTGATTCGGCCTAACCAGTGGTGCACCTGGAAGCAGTTATTTTGACTAAACAACGCCATCTACCGGATGAAAAGTGCATGTGTTAGATTAGTTTCTATGGTAACCTTTGAGTTCAACGCTCCGAGTTGAGGAAAAAATGTCCGGGACTGATCATTTGCTAGCTCTTCTACAAAATATTATCGTTTTTCCAAGTATTTGTTACTAAATATTGTATCTGCCAAACGTCCGTTTTGTTCCAAACAGTTTTCGGTGGCTACAACGTTAGTCGTATTAACTTTTCTTTTAGTTGTTACAGTAGATTTGATACATTTTAAGTATGGCAATTCCTGGCTGTGATAATAAAGGAGTTCTGCAGCAGGTAAATCAGTTTTGGTCGATGTTAGATGACATGTCTCAGAATAATCCAGAGGCCTACAGGACCTTCATTGAACGCCAGTTACGGGAGGGAGCGGAGTTTCACTCCCCACCGGAGCCGCACGCCTGCATCCGCACTTCTCTACTGGTTGGTAAACCACCATTAACCTCTTTAACGAAACTCTGCTTTGACTGATTTTATAGATCGTATCAAACAAATAGACCACCGAAGTTATTTGATAGAAGATGCCTTATGATGTTTTTGGATGTCACTGGCGATAAAGCAGTATATCACTATCAAACGCTAAAAATGTGATAATCAATTAAGTAGTACTAGGCCTATGGCATTTGCATCTGTTACCTATTGAACCATAGTGCCACAGTAAAAGTTAAAATTGGATGGCATTTAACTTTACAAATAATTAATAAATTATGAAGTGAAATAAGAAAGATTTTATGTCTGATTATTCAGGAATCAAAGGAGGATGTATTGTACATTAACATTTGCGGTTGGAAACGCGTACCAGCGGCCATTTCTTACAGTGATCCTGTTCCTGTGTGTGGAGGACGAATGGAGAAAGTAACAGAGGAGAAAGGTACAAAAACTCAAAATCATCATTGCTGCTTTCAAAAGATTTTCTTTTACCAAAATATTCACTTTTAGGTGGCATTTGTTCCGTTATCCATTGGTTCGCAGTCTTATTCCAAGTAGCTAGACTTTATTTTGTCCTTGAGGAACTTCCTGTCTCCCTAGACTTGATTCTTTAAACATCCTTTTTATCTTGAGAAATTCTGATTTCCTTTGTTTTTTTTTTTTGTTTTGTTTTTTGCAGAGCGATACAGTGTTATTGATGTGGCCTTCAACCCTGCGGTTCTGGAAACGGCAGCGAAAGAGAAACATGAGAAAGAGCAGCTCCATCTGCTTGCTGTGAACTTCATCCAACAACAGCACAACCTGAGTCTCTCCCAATGCTACAAACTCACCAAAGACAAAATTAAAGGCAGCATTCAGGATATGAAGCAGCGTCTCATGTCACCACATACATCCAAATCTTCTGCCAATAAGCCACAATCTGAACCAGGTAAAATATGCTTTGGAAATGTAAAGACAGTTTCATCTTACCGGTTTTAAGAGCTACAGAGGTTAACTAGCTAATTGTAAAGAACCTTAACCTGCTGGAATGCAAATTGTGTGATTTTGCAATATTAAAGAGTTAATTCACCCTAAAAATTCAGATATTTTTAATGAAATCTGAGAGCTTTCTTTCCCTCCATTGACAGCATCTACCACTTTTAGGCCCCAGAAATGTATTAAAGACATCATAAAAGTAATCCAAGTGACCCTAGTGGTTTAACACTATAATTTTATGAAGCGATCCGAGTGCTTTGTTTATGCAGAACAACGTCATTTACCAGTTTATGTACAAAAATGTTAGTTCATACAACAGCATCTGCTCTTGCTTCATAACAACAAGGATGCGTTACAACAACCATTCATAAAAGGAACTCTCATGAATGTGCATTGGAGTTTAACATTTTATAAATAAAGTGGTAAATTTTGTGTTTTGTGCAAACAAGGCACTTGTGTTACTTTATAAAATTGAGGTTAAACAACTTAGGTCTCATGGATTACTTTTATGATGTCTTACGAAGATGAACTAGAGTCTTGAGGGTTTATATACAAAATTTAAATTTTTGAGTGAATTAACCCTTTAAGTGATTCTTCTGCTTTTTTATAGCCCCATCACTCTTGCAGCAGATCTCCTCACTGAGAATGGCTGACAGTAATGAGGATTCATCCATCCAACTAAGCATGGAGCCGGAGAAAAAAGCAGCCCGATCAGGTCTCATTGAGGTGATCTCCAGCACAGAATCAGACCAATCTCAGCCACAACAACCCCGGCATCATCTCACAGTCTGTCCTGACAGCAACGGCTCAACTAGGAGCCTGAAGCTGAGTGTTGAGCTTCCTGGAGTGAGATCTGTGTCACAGTGCCAGCTCAGCATCTCTCAGGTCAGTGTTCCCGTAGGCAAGCTGTGTGGGGGGAAGTTTTCATTTCAAAACAAATGCTTTATTTTATCTTATATATAATGTTTCATTATCAGGACTAAATCAAATTTTCCATAGTTCTGATTTAACCTTTCTACAGCCCTTATATTGTACATATTTTTTAAGGTTTTTATTCATGATGTGGACTCAATAAAGGGTTTGGTTTTTATTCTTTAGGATGATATTCTCCTGGAAGTTGAGGACATTTATTATCTCCATCTTCCATTTCCTGAGTTGGTCAAAGAGGAGACATGCATCGCAACATTTAGTAAGAACAAACAGACTCTAGATGTTTTAGTGACTGTGTTATGAGAACACTTTACTCTTATTAATCAAGAAACCGAGGATATAAACCCCTTCCGAATCATTTTCTGAGAAATATATTGTTGTATTATTATTTGTCCCAAAGATAATTAGACATACATTCAAATTCAAGCTTACATATTCTATTCCCAGACAGAACCATCTTTTCTTAAATTTATAAGAACCTTAAAAGACAATAATTATTTTGTTATTAGTTAACTAATTCATGTTTGATGTTTAAATAAATTAATAGAACACTAAAATAAGTGTTTTTATTAGCATATTTTTAAATATATATATATATATATGTATATATTTAAAGTGAATTTAGGCATCACAACATTAGAAAGTACACTTTGAAAGCTTATTTTGAGATTTGCTTAAGATTATAGTTAACTCTTATTCAACTTGAAGTGAATGTTTCATGACTGCAAATGTAATTCAAATGTATAATAAAAATAACCAATATGATATATTGTGCATCGCCACGATTTTAGACAATTGCATACACAAATAAGCCTTCACCAGGGCACAGAATGTCTTTAATAATATGGATTTATCCATTTAATATAATGGATTTGCATTTACAACACAAACACTATGAACAGACATGCAAACTTGATAGGAAAAGTACAATCATTTTCAAAGGGAATTCTTCAATATCTTCAAATGTTACAAATTCTTACAAACAAAGTGGTCCCTGCTTTTTACCACCCTTTATTTTTTAAGGGATTTCAAGAAAGATTGACATACATTAAGTGAAAAATATATTACAGAGAATGTGTGCATATGCTGATATGATATGTTCTCTTGAAATGGCATTTTTCTGGCAGGACAATACATGCACACAATGTGTGATGTCCTTGTCACAGTTTGGCAACTAATGCGACATGTTTATTATTTGTCACTGCACAAGACAAAAACTCAGTAAATAATCTTCATTTCTTCCTCACTTATCACAATGGCATTGTTACTTCAATACACTTTTAATCAGTATTTACTTGTAAACTGTTTTTTAATAATATTAAAATGTCTTTTTTCTTTCAATCTTCAAAATGCATATACTCTATTTTACAAACACTTTCCTGATGTAATGACATAGTGAACAGGTTCGGTGAGATTCACAGTTAGCACAGGACAAAGGGTTCAGAGTTCCTGGGATGAGGTATATGTGGGCTAAAACATACATTCTGAACGGATCGGACCCCACATGTTCTATCTCCCCTCTCCACGATCCTCTTCCACCCATGCAACGATTTTCCCTTCCCAGCCAGGTACAACAGCATCGTCCTGAAACACCTGAAAGACGGCATTCAGTGTCATTTCTCAAAAACTCGCAGCACATTTAGAGAAAGACACTGAGCATTCACTAATTCACAACATGGGGTGTGATTTTCACCTCTTCCTTCACCGTTCCAAACTCTGGATCCAGCGATTTGAAGTGATATCGGAAACAGCCATGTCTATCCACAGCTGCCTTGAAGTCCTGTAGCGTGACCTCCCCCAGCCTACCAATAAATAGTTTCAATTTAGATCACGAGACTTCTATATGATGATGCTATGATGTCATTCTTGTAGTCACCTCTTAGGGATGTTGACTAGGAAGGGCGTGAGAGAACGATCTGTGTAGTAGAGTACTTTGGTTGAGGCAGCCGCACTAAGAACAGGGCTACTGTGAGAATGAGCAATCTCTGGAAAAAAGGAAATTATTTTTTTCTAATTACGAATTGTTTGATCTTGTGTAGGTTAAAACTTGCATGTTAAAATTGTGAGCAAACCGTTCTTTTGAGTTGGTTCTTTTCTCATTTCAAAGATAGATCTAAATAAATAGGTTTGAATTTGAATGATTTTTAGGTCAAGTAATCACAAATGACTTGAAAGCTTATAAAAAATGCATTCATTGGTCTAAAACGTGGCAACTCTGCATGAATTTCTAGCTGAATAGCATTGAAGTGACCTACTTGAGCTCGATGGCCATGATTCTCGGTCCGTGTGATTGGCTTTTCGTCCCGGAGACCTGGTTGAACCCTGTGGTGGTACAACAAATTGTTTTAAAGTCGGCATGAAATGAAAATTCACTGGTATCTCATTTCTACATGCCTGTTATAGATCTTACTGTGAACTATTCATTTGTGCATGTTTCATTTGTTATGGTTTGACCACATAATGTTAAATCAAAACATCATAAATGTTAGTGACGGGGACATTCGAAACACATGGTTTGTGAAGCTTCAAAACGCTTGCAAATCAGAGCATTCAGAGCACGTATGCTTTGATGAATAGTGATGAATTCAGGTTGATTGGGATACTTTTCGCCATTGAGATGACTAGGGAAAAGTGTGCCAAATGAACATGAATTCACCCTACATCTCAAAATCAAACCCCAATCCCTGCCCTACTTCTCCCCAGTCCCACATTTCCTGTTATCCAGAATGTTGGATACAGTTAATGGTTGACCTTGCCTTTCTCTCCTGCCGTTTCTTGGATTCTGTGGTGTGAAGGCGGTCCACCAGACTGGCCAGCCCCTGCTCCAGGGTGTCCAGCATATGATGCTGTGGGTCATGACCGCTGAAACTGTTCCTCAGGCTGTGCAGAGCATCTCGCACCAGATGAAGCTCGTCTCCCTGATGCACACATTCAGACACAAAATACACACCTTTAGTAGAAATTGAGTGAATACTTTTTTTTTTTTAAGTGAAGAATGGCATGACTCACCATTCTATGCTGGAAAACAGTGGACGATGTGTCCATCGTGTGACTGTAGCCATTATTCTCACAGCCTGACAACTGGAGAAAACATTTTTTATTAATGTCGAGCATTACACATTTACTTGAAAGTCATATTATAGTTTATATTAAAGCTGTTTATATTTCTGTTCTTTATATTTGCTTTTTATGGGAATATCGGTGTAATATTATACAAAGCTAAATATATTTAGAAGTAAACGTCAGTTTGAGACTATTGGTGTGCTATGGCTCCCTCTAGTGTAATAAATGAGAGCTACAGGGAGTTTACACAATATTATAATATAAAATGTTAAAAGTGATAGTTCACACATAAATGTAAATTTTGTCAGCATCTACTCACCCTCAAGATTTGTTCTGTTGAACACAAAAGATATTTTGAAAAATGATTGGTAACCAGACATAGACCATTTAATCTATATCTGTCTATCTATAGCCACATCCATATAGGGAAAAATACTATAGAAGTTAATGGTTACCTCAACTGTCTGGTTACCAACATTCTTCTAAATATCATCTTTTGTCTTCAACACAACTATCCCTTTAATAGGACATTCAATTATTGCAGAAATGGGTCAATTTTGCCCTAGTAGTTTTAGTTACCCTGTGATAGCTCCCATTGATCCTGTGCAGGGCATCGTCCAGTTTTGCTTGTTGCTGCTGAAGAAGTCTGTCTTTCTGCCCAATTTCTTTCTACAAAGATAAGTGCATGTGATAAATGGGATTTTTATGGATAACTATACAGTAGAATACAGAATATTGGAGAACCAACACAGCCCTATTTAATGAATTAAAACATAAAGATGAGTAAAGAATACTAGATAGGATTCACGATATTCACTTACTTTGTATTCACTCAGAAATCTGTTCCGTTCACTCAACTTCCTTTCTAGTTCCATCTAAAGGACAAAATGAAGCAAAAGTTTGCAAATAAACCTTTATATATCTGATACAAAGGAAAATAAAATGCAATGACAATATATATATAATATTATATATTACATTATGTCCCTCCAGTTCCTCTCTGGCCATGCTGGATCTAAGCAGCTCCTGTTTGAGCTGTAGCACTGAGTCCTCCTGCACAGACATTCTCTGCTGCAAGGCATCCTGGGTAAACAGATGGACACAGAAACAAACCCTAACTATACCAAATGGCAACAAATCTGCTGTACACTGCAAAAGCTAATGTTAAAATTAAAGAATTGAATAATTATTCATACTTCAGTTATTTATAATATTACAAATGAACACACAATTTATTATTATATAAAGAGTTCAGATGCAAAAGCCTCTAAATGCCATTTGAAATAATGATGATTATCAAACTTCAGTAATTTCACTTAAATAACAATTAATAGGTAATTATCATTGTTATTTAAGTGAAATTACTGAACTTAAATATACAAGTTTGATAAAAATCATCATTAAAGAAGAAAATTTCAAATGGCATTTAGAGGCTTTTGCATCTGAACTCTTCATATATTGTATTTTATGTTACTTAATTTCACCTGCATGGTCTCACCTTAATAGCCTGCAGATTACGTGCCTCCTGCTTGTATCTTAAAAGTTCTCTCTGAAAAAACACATTAAAACTCTCATTCAATGTGCAAATTGTAGTACATTAAGTTTTTTATACAGTATACTGCACATCAGCCAGTATTTCTTTTCAGCAATTTAAGTTACCTTCAGATCTAAAGACTCTTCCATACTCTGGTCCAGACGACTGCGAATTAAAATCTCCAGTGGCAGAATACAAAGTATATGTCATTACTATAATAGACTGTATATGAGACATGCACAAAAGCATAGTTAAGTGTTACCAGCTGCTGCTCTGAGCTGGCACTTTCTCCAAAGCTCAGAGTAGATGTCTGCTCGTCCTCAGGTAGTGACCCATGCAGCAGTAAGGCCTGAATGAACACATGTGAGCATGAGGTTTCTAATGTAATGAGAGTAAAACTAGTCCATTCGCAGTGAACATATGCTATTGCACAACAGTCATCACGTGATCAACCTCGGATGCTGTTGGATGATTAGACTAGCAGCTTCTCCTCTTTCAATCTTTATAACTCTTGCATTCAAGAATTAAAGATGCCTTCTAATGCTGATACCTGGCAATTAAAAGGATGCTTTGAAATGCTGGATTGATGAGCTGGAAATGCATGGTCATTGGTTCTGTTCAGAAGAGTGACATTAATCATGATGGATTAGGAAAGTCTGCCAATCTGTGCAAAGTAATAATCTTAATCCGACTGAATGAACTGCTTTACAAGCACTAATTCTTTGCTTAAAATGTAGTAGTGGAGGTATTACACATGGGTCTTTCTAAAATGTTGACCCTGGACTCACTAGTTAACTGTCTTGTGTATAAAATACTCATTATGGGAGAATACTGTCATTTGAAATATATTCATATTATATATATTTTTTTTATTTGTGAAAGATATCATTATCCTTTCCACCACATCTCAAATGATATTGGTGGAAAATACATTTTTAAATATTTTGCAAAAAAAAAAAAAAAAACTGACTTTGTCTTGCTAAAGCTATAGCATTTATGTATCCTAACTTCACACGTATCCTAAATACACAATAATATTTTCACATGATAATATACACCGATCAAATTATTTTTTTTTAAAAAAAAGTCACTTATGCTTTTATTTTTCAAAAATACATAATGTTGTGGTGTTATGACGATTTAAAATAACTGCCTTCTATTTGAATATAA